GCTAGGGAATATGGTATAATGCCTAATTGCGATGTTAGATTTCCTGACCCCGAGGATAGGATTATTCGAGCACGACGAGGGGAGTTTGTTATTTTTAGGGAGACCCTTAAGGCTGGCTTTAGGTGGCCCCTTCACCCCTTCTTTATTGCTCTATTAGACGAGCACTCCATGTGCCCGGGGCAGTTAGTGCCCAACGCCTGGAGAATGCTCGTTTATTTTTTTATAGCATGTAGATACTTAGGTATCGAGCCCAACATTGGCCTCAGCAAATTAGTGTTCGAGCTTAAGAAGCATCCTCGATACACTTGTTTTGGCTACCTCTCGACGATTGGGGGTTTTAAAGTCCCGAGGATGGCGAGCTCTTTGAAGGGGTGGAGGGAGGGGTGGTTTTATGTTATAGCCCAAGAACCCGATCTTCCTTTCTGGCCTGATTGGGGAATCCCCGACGCCGAGAAATTCTGTGAGGGCCAGGTGTATCCGGATGTTTTGGAAGAGCATAGGAGGATGCTGGTCGGGCTTAGCCCCCTTTTCTTGACGATGAAGGAGATTGGGGAAGAGGTTATAGACCTGGCAGATATTAGAGGCGTCGAGGGTAGGGATGTTCCTTTATTATTATTTTTTGAAAAATACCCTGACCTTATGCTCGTTCTAAAATGTTTGTAAATTTTTGCAGGTATGTCTTTTGATCCTCGGGCTCTTTGAAACTTTGTCAGCACAAGGGCAGACGCTCGAAAAGCAAGAAGAGGCCTCGAGGGACTCCTGAGGGTGCGAGGGGGCCTGGCGAAACTTCTCGAGCACATCCACAAGTCTCGACCCCTCTGCAACCGAACCTTAGATCTCCCACTCCTCGGGTCGTCGCTCCTCGGCCTCCTTCTGAAGTGGTTGACCTTGAGGATGACCCGTCTCTCACCGGGGACTTTGAGACTTGCCACCTCGCTCCTGAGCTCATAAATAAATACAAGGAGGAGGTCAAGCTCGAGGATGGGATGAAGGTCCTCGAGGGTCTTACGGTGAAGGTAATCTTCGGGCTTTCGACTTTAATCTCAAGTTTTTTTTTTGTCGAGATTAATACTTGTCATTTTCTTCATTTTTTCCAGATGTTGAGTATAGCTTGAGAACTTTCTCTGCAAGGGCTCGAGGAGGCCAAGAGGGCAGCTGGGGTCGAGACGTCCATGGCCTCTAAGGACAGCAGGATTCAAGACCTCGAGGCACAGGTCGAGGTTTTATTGAAGGAGCGTGATGAAGTGAGAAGGGAGGCTGCAAAGGCCAGGGATGACCTGGTTGTAGCAAAGGATGAGGTCGAGGGCTCGAGCTCATCCAGAAGACAGAGGATTTTGGGCGCGAGCTCACGGCTGTCAGGGAGAGGGCCTGGGAGGAGTTTAAAACGTCCGAGGACTGCGACAAGATAAAAGGGGAGTACGCGTCGGGGGCGTACTTCCATGCTCTGAAAGAAGCCCGGGCCTTCCTCCGTCAGAAGTTGCCCGACGTCACTCCGGACGACCTGAAGACAGTGCCTTCCATTGCTGATACATTGGAGCTCTCGGGTTCGGAAGATGGAGGAGGATCAGGCGGAGATGAGGACGACGGTCTTGAGGACGACGTTGAGATTGACATCAGCAACCTCGACCCTCCTTTTGGCCATATTGGATGACTTCCCCCCATCCCGATCTTTTGTAATTTTTGTTTAAAGTTTGAACATGTATTTTGATCGAGGACTATGTATGTTCTAAAGTTAATTTCTTTGAACTATTTATCTCGACCCCTTGGACCTCATACACTCGAGCAAACAAAAATGGAAATTAACTGCTCATGCAACATTGAAGAGTTTACTCGAGGATTCTACAACTCGAGCATATTTAAGGGATTAAAAATTGAGTGACATTCTCGAGGACTGTAAAACCTCGAGCACAACAAACTTAAAAAGTGATAATGTGACATTCTCAAGGACTGTAAACCTCGAGCACAACTAACTTAAAAAGGTTGGGTTGTGCGACGTTCTCGAGGACTTTTAAACCTCGAGCACAATTAACTTAAAAAGTTGGGTTGCGATATTCTCGAGGACTTCTAACCTCGAGCACAACTAACTTAAATAGTTGTTATTTGCTCGTGATATCCTCGAGGGATTGTCAAAAATGATGTAGGATTTTTGTATGTCCTCGGGTGATACTATAACGGTTTACGCTTGAGTATATGATCAAGACTTTTTGTGCTTGCGCAGGGCAATGCTTTGGTGCTTGCGAGGGGTAAGGCTTTTTTGAGTGCTTGCGCGGGGCAAGGCTTTTTTAAGTGCTTGCGTGGGGCAAGGTTTTTTGTGCTTGCGCGGGGCAAGGCTTTTTTATGCTTGCGCGGGGCAAGGCTTTTTTATGCTTGCGCAGGGCAAGGCTTTTTTGAGTGCTTGCTCGGGGCAAGGCTTTTTGTGCTTGCGTGGGACAAGGCTTTTGTGTTTGCTCGGGGCAAGGCTTTGATGATTCCTGGGCGCAAAGTAAACAAAAGGGCTGTTATACCCGAGGTTTGAATTTACTAATTTTTCGGACTGGACTTGGATTTATATTGTATCCAAACTGCCTACGTACCCAAATGGGATCAAGCCGAACGTAGTTCATTATGAGAGAAAACAAAAAACATGCTTGGGCATGCAGGCCCGCTAAACTAGAGAAATAAAATGCAAGGGCGCGCATGCCCGAGGAACCAAAAATAATATTCAGAAGAAAAAATGCAGGAATAAAAAGAAAATCTCCTAGATGTCATCGAGAATGTTACTTGTAGTATAATTTCAGATTATCAGCGTTCCAGGGCCTTGGAAGAGGTCTACCCGAAGTGTCTTTTAGACTGTATGCTCCCTTGCGAACCTGTCGTATGACCTCAAAGGGTCCTTCCCAGATGGGCCCGAGCTTCCCAGGGGGGTGACCTGCAGCTTCGGCCCTCCTCAGGACCAAGTCGCCTGCTCTGAACCTCCGAGTCTTGACTTTGCTATTAAAATGTTTTGCTGTCTTAGTTTGTAAGAGGCCACCTTTATAGTGGCTTGCTCCCGCACTTCTTCCAAGAGATCAAGATGTTCAGTTGTATGCTCCAAGATTTCTGGCACGAGCCTCCTATGGCTCGGGAGTCTAATTTCTACCAGGACCATTGCTTCAGTGCCATAGGCTAACATAAAGGGGGTTTCTCCTGTGGTTGTCCTATGAGTTGTTCTATACGTTCAAAGTATAGAAGGCAGCTCGTAGGACCAAGATCCCCTAGCATTGCCTATTCTTGTTCGGAGGTCTTGTAATATAATTCGATTTGTTACCTCGGCCAGACCATTGCTCTGAGGATGTGAAACTGATGTCAGACGGTGATCAATCCCAAGGTTTGAGCAAAAGTCCCTAAACTGTTGATTGTCAAATTGCCTGCCATTGTCGGTGATGAGGACCTTTGGTATCCCAAACCTGCAAATGATAGATCTCTAAGTGAAGGCTCTTAGCTTGGGCTCCGATATTGTGGCGAGAGGTTCGGCCTCTACCCATTTTGTGAAGTACTCTACTGCTACAGCAACAAACTTTAATTGACCTCTAGCCACAGGAAAGGGACCGAGGATATCGACTCCCCATTGTTCAAATGGGGCCGAACAGTTAATGTTGGTTAGGTCTTCGGCTGGTGAGTGGATAACATTACCAAACCTCTGGCACCTATCACATCTTTTAACATATTCTGAGGTGTCTTTTTTCATAGTTGGCCAATAGTACCCATATCGTACGAGTTTAAAGGCCAAGGCCCTGGCTCCTTGATGATTCCTGCACACACCTTCATGAACTTCAGCAAGGGCCTGAGATAATTCTGATGGCCTGAGACACCTTAGGTACGGAAGAGTAATACTTCTGCGGAAAAGGACACCGCTGATCATGCAGTACCTAGGAGCTCGGGCTCTGATGCTTCTGGCCAACCTGGCATCGCTTGGTAGATTTCCACTTGTGAGGAATTCGATGATTGGGTCCATCCAGGATGGTTCGTTGTCAATGTCCATGATGTCGAGGATTTGGCTGATGCTGGGTTCTGTGATGATTTTAATGTGAACTGTTCTGTCAAGGCCGTCCACCCCCATGAACACAAGCCTGGATAATGCATCGGCTTTTCCGTTGTCCTTTCAAGCAATTTTTGCAATTTCACAACTCTTGAATTTTCGTTGAAGATCCTGAACCTTCATATAGTACAAACTCATTTTCTCGTCTTTCCTTTCAAATGAACCTTCAATCTGTCCGACCACCAGTTGTGAGTCGCTGAATATCTTTATGAACTCGAGCTCAAGGCAAAGGGCTAGCTCAAGAGCAATAACGACGGCCTCATACTCGGCCTTGTTGTTGGTTGCTTCAAACTTGAACCTGAGAGCGCATTGAATTTCTGTTTGTTTGTCAGGGCTGATGATGACGACCCCTGCGCCCAAGCCCGAGGAGTTGGATGCTCCATCCACAAAAATTTGCCAAGTGTCCAAATTAGTACTCATGCTCGAGCTGTCACCTGGCCCTCGAGGCCTAGGGGTTAGTTCTGCAATGAAGTCGGCTAGAGCTTGGGCTTTGATAGATGGGCGTGGTTTGAATTCTATGTCAAATTCTCCAAGCTCGATTGCCCATTTCATCAGTCTTCCCGATACGTCCGGCTTCTGAAGTATATGCCTAAGTGGTTGATTAGTGAGCACCACAATAGGGTGAGACTGAAAATATTACCGGAGTTTTCGTGCTGCTATAACCAAGGCAAGGGCAAGTTGTTCCGCCAAAGTATACCTTGTTTCCGCATCCAGTCGGACCTTGCTTGCATAGTAGATTGGTTGCTGGACTTTGTTAACCTCTTTCACCAAGACCCGGCTGACCGCGTTTTGAGACACGGCCAAGTACAAAAATAAGGTGTCACCAGGTTCAGGCCTAGTGAGAATAGGAGGAGATGCCAATGTCTACTTGAGCTCCTGAAAAGCTTTCTCACAGTCTTCACTCTAATCGAAGCCTTGGTTTCCTCTGAGGACTTTGAAAAAGGGATAGCACCTGTCTGATGCTCGGGACATGAACCTGTTCAAGGCTGCTATCCTATCAGTCAACCTCTGTACCTCTTTCTTGTTCCTTGGTGATTCCATAGATGCCAAGGCTTGTATTTTATCAGGGTTGGCCTCTATCCCCCGGTGAGTGATCATAAAGCCCAAGAACTTGCCCGAGGCCACGCCAAATGCACATTTTTTCAACTTCATTCCGTACTTTCGCAAGGTGTCAAAAACCTCTTCAAGATCTGAAATATGCTGGTCCACCTGTTTGCTCTTGACCACCATGTCATCAACGTACGCCTCCACGTTCCTTCCAATCAAGTTAGCAAAGACTTTGTTGATGAGTCTTTGGTATGTTGCCCCTGCATTCTTCAAACCGAAAGGCATGACCTTATAACAGTATATGGCGGAATCGGCCATGAATGATGTCTTTTCTTGATCTTCCTCGGCCATGAGGATTTGATGATAACTAGAAAATGCATCCAAGAAGCTGTACAACTTATGTCCGGACGTGCTATCCACCAAGTTGTCAATCCGTGGTAGGGGATAACTATCCTTTGGACATGCTTTGTTAAGATCTGTGAAGTCAATGCAGACCCTCCACTTACCATTGACCTTCTTTACTAAAACAACATTGGGAAGCCAATCGGGATATTGGACCTCCCGAATGAACTAAGCACTAACGAGTTTGTTAATTTCTTCGCGAATGATCTCCCGACGTTCTGGGGCAAACTGTCTTTTCCTCTGCTTTACTGGTCTGGCCCCTGGGCTAATGTTAAGCCTATGGACTGCAATTTTAGGGTCTATCCCTGACATATCCTCAACCTTCCAGGCAAAAAGTCAATGTTGCGAGATAAGCAACCAACAAGTTTTGTCTTTAGGGTGACGTCAAGATCCCGACCAATAGTCGCCTTCTTATCATGCTCGAGCTCAATTTCCATCAATTCTTCGACAGGGGCATCCTCAGCAGGGGGTTGGTTTGGAGCGGACGAGCTTGCTGGTGGAAGACCTGAACGTGTGTTTACCATGGCTTTTGGTAGCGGTTCCCACAGACGGCGCCAATGATGATACCAAAAATCGTACCTACTGATTTTTCGAGATTGATGATTCGGGTTGATCACGATAGCGGTCTTCCGATACCTGAAACAAAGACAACGAGGTATGTTCTCGTCGCCCCTCCGATGCTTAAGTCAGAAAGGGAAATATAAGCGTGAGGCTATGTGCTGAAGAATAATGAAAAAACGTACCTGAATAATGGCTCAAGGTTCTACTTTTATAGGGTTGGGTAGTGTACTCCTAGTAGGATCGTGTTGGTTGGATGTTTTTATTCAAGGAAATTTCTATTTATAAAGAGTGTCCTACTTGTAATGAAATTGTTTGACAAGCGGTATCAGGGTTGATGTAGAATCCTTGGGTGTTTAGGTTTGTTTGTTAGGTACCCAGGTCTTAGGAGGCATGTAGGTGGTGTATGTCTAGAGAACTATTCTCGAGGACCTGAGAGAATGTAAATATGTCCTCGAGGTATCTCGAGGACTACGATACCTCGAGGACTTACGGAGACCCGAGGACCATAGCAGAGAAATGAGATGGGGTATACATGGAGTCCTCGGGATAAACTCCTTGGGGTATATCAATATTGACATAGTCACTTAGGATTGTTGCTGAATTTTTTATTTTATTATTATTATTTTTTAAATATTTTTTGGGCAGAAGAGCATCTACACTAAAGTCCTTGTTCCCTTGGGCAGAAGGATCTTTGAAAGCCGTGGCGGGGGGCTTTGATCGTGAAAGTCCTACAGGAATCAGTGGGGTACAATAGACTGGACCAAGGTAAGAGACCTCATGTGGAAATTGAAAAATGGCTTCGAAATAGTGGATCTTGACTAGGTTCTATCTGCTGAGGGACTAATCAAGGAAGGCTTATCTATATGTATTTATTGAAGGAGGCCCTCGAAGATATTTCATAGTGTAAAGCTAATATAAAAAAAAAAAAAATACTATTTACAATCAGTGTTTACAGTAGTAATCTTATTACGTGGCGGCTTGTTATTTGGGGGCATTAATTTCATGTAATTCTATTGCCTCAAACAACAAATTATCATATGAGATGATTCTTGCAGTCGTTGGTTATGAATAACAAACTTAATATAAAAATAGATTAAGGATCAAGTCTGAGGGTGGGTGAAACAAAATAAAGTAGTTATAAATTGGCATGCGAAACCAAAATGAAACTTTCCTAGTCCCTGTTTGGCTCCCCTTTTTTTTCAGATTTTAATGTTTGGAATAGTATTTTTTTAGAGCATGTATAATTGAAAAAGAAGAAAATTTTTCGATTTATATATAATATTATTTTATAAAAATTTGTGTAATTAAAAATAAGAGAGGAAAATTAAAAAGAAAGGGAGCCAAACATGGGCTTATTCAGTTTTGAACTATAAGAATGCTAGACTGAAGATCATCATGCTATTTAGTTGATTTCTTTTTATTTTTAATTTAAAGAGGGGATAATTGCGTCATTTTACATTGCTTTAACGGTCAAAATTGACGAAGGGACGGGATTTGCTATACTTTTGAAAAGTTTAGACGGTATGTGCTAAAGAGAAGAGATGAAATTATGATTATGCCCGGGGTAACATCACAATGCACAATATGTGATGCAAATATTCATATAATTAAAAAATGTTGACATAATTATGTGGCCAACCTCTTAACCTGCCAGTTTTCAGTTGGTGAGATACTATGCAATTGAACTTGGCCACGTGTTCACTTCTCCGTATAGTAAAATTTTACGACGTTAACTAGGGTTAGACATCGTTGTCACACAAAATGACAAGTAGCTAAGCTAGTTGATCACGATTCATGAACATTACTATTGGTAAAAATGGAAATCAACTACAAAATTGTCCATCGAGTATAAAAAAACGAATGGTAAACTCTGTTTGTATCAATACTAAAGAGATCCGTGAACGATAGAAGATCCTAACCGTCCAACTTATGGGTCCACTCCCTGGCATGAAATCATACTATAAATTGCACAATCTAGAAGCAATGACAACACAACTCACTAGGGTTAACAATTTTCATTTATTATCTAGCATTTTACATTTAACTGCACTTCCACCACAACCACCCCCACCATCATCATGGCTGAAGAGAAGAAGCACCACCACCACTTCCACCACGACAAGGACGAGGACAAGCTAGTCGAGGCAGTTTACTCCGACAGCGCCTACGGTACTGAGAAATACGAGAAAGAAAAGAAGGAACATAAGCACAAGGAACACCTCGGCGAGATGGGCGCAACTGCTGCTGGTGCCTTTGCCCTGGTAAATTCTCTTGTTTTGTTGTGGCCAGTTTCATAATTTATCAAACTATCTCATCTAAAAGATTAAGGTCTCCAATTTTTTGGGCAAAGGTCTGACACGTGGACAATTTTTGTTCTTTAATAACGTTTAGTATGAGAAGCACGAGTCAAAGAAAGACCCCGAACATGCCCACAAGCACAAGATTGAAGAAGAAATAGCAGCAACAGTTGGGGTTGGAGCCGGCGGATATGCATTCCACGAGCATCACGAGAAGAAGGAAGCCAACAAAGAAGAAGAAAGGGCTGAAGGAAAGAAGCATCACCACCTCTTTTAACTATTGCCAGTGCTTGATTTCTATGGTTTTATGTTCTGCCTTAAATAATATTTGTGTGTAACTAAGACTATGGCTTCACCAGCAAATGCCTAGTATAGTATATATGGTGTAGACTGGTATTCCTGCAGTGTGGTTTGTAATTACTTGGTGTTCATTTTGCTCTATAAATGAGGACTTCACCTTTTAATTAAGTAGACTATGCATAATGCAAACTAAGGAGTTCAAAATGTTTGGATAAGCTTAACAAGAACTCAAAGTACTTTTAACAAAAGTAGGTTCTTAAACTTTGAGGAAAATTCCCTGTTGCTACCTTTCATAAAAGTTTTGAGTCCCAATTTTGCTATCATTCTCTCGAATCAGCTACCGATTATTACTTTGGTAAGTTATTGCCTCACCAATTAGCTAATTAGATGTTGTTTGATTGAAGTTACCTCAAGAAGAGCCGGAATAATGTTGTTTGATTGTTATAAAATAATTTATTGCACGTTTAGTAAGCTTAGTTAGACAAGACAAGGGATGAAATTAAAATTTTTCTTTTTCTTTCTTTCTTTTTTTTTTTTTTTTTAAAGATCGTTACACACGTACGATATTTTCATAATTGAGTCGTACTAAAACTTAAAATCAGGATTTTATTTATTTATTTTGATTTTACTCCTATACTATTTTAAGACTACTGTTACTTTCTAGAGTGAATTGTTGAAATGGTCACTATATTTTGTAAAAAAATTTCAAGGGATCATTGAACTTTAAAAATCACTTAAATGATCATTGAATTTTGCAAACAAAATTTACGAGTCACAGAACTCTTAAAAATCATTTAAATGGTTGCTGAATTTTGCAAAATATTTTCATCCTTGGAAAATCTTTTGCAAAGTTAAGTGATCATTTAGATTATTTTTAAAGTTCAGTGATTTCGTAGAAATTTTTTGGAAAGTTCAGTGACTATGTAGGTGATTTTTAAAGTTTAGTAACCCCTTTGAAATATTTTACAAAGTTAACTGACCATTTAAATAATTCACTCTACTTTCTACAAAAATTTCCAACGTTGGTATGGTCAATTATGTATAGCCGAATTGCATCAAATGTTGAATTGGTAGTCCAAAAGTAATGGAGACAATAGAAAGTGCTAAGCATGATTAATTACTTTGATTTTTTATTAATTAACCCATGAGATAAAGCAGAAATCTTCGAGAAGAAGGAAGCCAACAAAGAAGAAGAAAGGGCTGAAGGAAAGAAGCATCACCACCTCTTTTAACTATTGCCAGTGCTTGATTTCTATGGTTTTATGTTCTGCCTTAAATAATATTTGTGTGTAACTAAGACTATGGCTTCACCAGCAAATGCCTAGTATAGTATATATGGTGTAGACTGGTATTCCTGCAGTGTGGTTTGTAATTACTTGGTGTTCATTTTGCTCTATAAATGAGGACTTCACCTTTTAATTAAGTAGACTATGCATAATGCAAACTAAGGAGTTCAAAATGTTTGGATAAGCTTAACAAGAACTCAAAGTACTTTTAACAAAAGTAGGTTCTTAAACTTTGAGGAAAATTCCCTGTTGCTACCTTTCATAAAAGTTTTGAGTCCCAATTTTGCTATCATTCTCTCGAATCAGCTACCGATTATTACTTTGGTAAGTTATTGCCTCACCAATTAGCTAATTAGATGTTGTTTGATTGAAGTTACCTCAAGAAGAGCCCGAATAATGTTGTTTGATTGTTATAAAATAATTTATTGCACGTTTAGTAAGCTTAGTTAGACAAGACAAGGGATGAAATTAAAATTTTTCTTTTTCTTTCTTTCTTTTTTTTTTTTTTTTTAAAGATCGTTACACACGTACGATATTTTCATAATTGAGTCGTACTAAAACTTAAAATGAGGATTTTATTTATTTATTTTGATTTTACTCCTATACTATTTTAAGACTAGAGTGAATTGTTGAAGTGGTCACTATATTTTGTAAAAAGTTTTCAAGGGGTCATTGAACTTTAAAAATCACCTAAATGATCATTGAATTTTGCAAACAAAATTTACGAGTCACAGAACTCTTAAAAATCATTTAAATGGTTGCTGAATTTTGCAAAATATTTTCATCCTTGGAAAATCTTTTGCAAAGTTAAGTGATCATTTAGATTATTTTTAAAGTTCAGTGATTTCGTAGAAATTTTTTGGAAAGTTCAGTGACTATGTAGGTGATTTTTAAAGTTTAGTAACCCCTTTGAAATATTTTACAAAGTTAACTGACCATTTAAATAATTCACTCTACTTTCTACAAAAATTTCCAACGTTGGTATCGTCAATTATGTATAGCCGAATTGCATCAAATGTTGAATTGGTAGTCCAAAAGTAATGGAGACAATAGAAAGTGCTAAGCATGATTAATTACTTTGATTTTTTATTAATTAACCCATGAGATAAAGCAGAAATCTTGGTTTTTCCCTTCGTTAATTGTGAAATCAGCTTATAAGTTATAAAACTAATTATAATTATGTTGAAAATGAAGCCGAAAGAGACAGAGACCATAAACCAATCACGTGTCACCACTTCTCACAAGTCAATATCAATTGATGGAAGTATTGAGCAAATCCATCAATAAAGTAAAGAGTTAATTTCACAAACGATCGCTGAACTTACATGAAAATTATAAAAAGATCACTGAAATTTAAAATTTTCAGTATTGGTCACTTAAATTTTGGGAGGCTTTTCGAGATGGTCAATGAAGTTTAAAAACTTGCAGAAACGATCACTAAAATTTTAACACTCTTTTTGAAAGCCCACGATATCCTCTTCAATTATCACTTAAAATCTTCCTGTAACTCCAAGGGAATCGACCAGAAAATAACCACAAAAGTCGTCAAAAAAATCTAAAAATCTAGCCAAATTTTTGGATTTTTGCAGATTTTCAGATTTTTTGGACAACTTTAACAGTGATTTTTCGACAACTTCCAACCATCAATATCGTCAAATTTTAATACCGTTAGAAAGTTCACAATGTTTTCTTCAATTACTATAAAAAATCTCCCCCAAACTCCAAAAAATTCGACCGGAGTAAATCCACAAAATTGACAATCCGAAAAGATGGAAATTCACAAAGTTCACGGTGTCCTCTTCAATTATTATTATGTTGAAAATGAAGTCGAAAGAGACACAGACCACAAATAAAGCAAACCAATCACGTGTCACCACTTCTCACAAGTCAATATCAATTGATGGAAGTATTGAGCAAATCCATCAATAAAGTAAAGGTTTAATTTCACAAATGGTCACTGAATTTACGCGAAAATTATTAAACGGTCAATGAAATTTAAAACTTTCAATAACGGTCACTTAAATTTCGGAGCGCTTTTAGAAACGGTCACTAAAATTTAAAAACACTTTTTCACTTTTTTTTTTGCTACTTTTGTGACAACCTTTAGACCATTTTCGACCTTAATTTCACAAATGGTCACTGAATTTACGCGAAAATTATTAAACGGTCAATGAAATTTAAAACTTTCAATAACGGTCACTTAAATTTCGGAGCGCTTTTAGAAACGGTCACTAAAATTTAAAAACACTTTTTCACTTTTTTTTTTGCTACTTTTGTGACAACCTTTAGACCATTTTCGACCATCGATACCGTCGAATTTTGATATTATTGGAAAGCCTACAATATCCAAAATCTCCCCCTAGCTCCAAGGGATTCGATCGAAAAATCGCCACAAAAATCATCCAAAAAAATCTGAAAATCTGTCCAAATTTTCAAATTTTTGGGCGAATTCGCGACAATTTTTCGATAACTTTCAACCACCAATATCGTCGAATTTTGATACAGTTGAAAAGCCCATAATATTCTCTTCAATTACCATCAAAAATCTCCCCAAACTCCAAAAGATTCAACTTGAATAAATCCACAAAGTTGGCAACCCGAAAAGGGAAAAATTTAGGCAGATTTTTCAGTTTTTTGGGTAACTTTCGCAGCAAAATTCGACTATCAAGACCATCGAACTTTGATACCGTTGGAAAGCCCAAAATCTACTCTTCAATTACCACTCAAAATCTTCCCATAACTCTAACAGATTTGGCTGAAATAAACCCACATATTCAACATCCCAAATCTGGGCAGATTTTCGCCTTTTTGGGTAGCCGATTTTGTGGGTTTATTCCGGTCGAATTCTTTGGAGTTTGCGGAAGATTTTAGATGGTAATTAAAGAAGACATTGTAGGCTTTTCAATAGTATCAAAATTCGACAGTCTTAGCAGTCGGAAGTCATCAAAAAAATCGCCTCTAAGTCGTCCAAAAATTCTGAAAATCTAAATTTTCAGATTTTCTGGGCAACTTTTGCAACGATTTTCTGATCGAATCCCTTGGAGTTACGGGGAGATTTTAGGTCGTAATTGAAGAAGACATTGTGGGCCTTACAAGGGTATCAAAATTTGGTAGTATTGGTGATCGGAAATGACAACAAAGTTGCCACAAAAGTAGCCCAAAAAATTGAAAAGGTGTTTTTAAACTTTGCTGACCATTTCTGTAAGTTTTTTAAACTTCAGTGACCATTTTTGAAAGCTTTTCTACAAGTTTTTATACTTTAATGACATTTTTAAAGCACTCTAAAATTTAAGTGACCGTTACTAAAAATTTTAAACTTCAGTAACTGTTTTGTAATTTTCGCGCAAGTTGAGTGACCATTTGTGAAATTAACCCATAAAGTAAATTATAAATTGGGGTCAGAAGAATTTGATATTTCCCGTTACTATTCAATTTTTTAATTTTATTAATTAAGATTATCAATTTTTTATTATTATATCTTCATTCCGAATATCTTCATAAATCAAAAATATTTCAAGATCCAATTTCAAAAATCAAATATAAAATTTGTTTCATACAAAAATCATATATTAATAATATTATTATAATCCACCCCACCAAATTTAATCATAAACACTAATTACTTCTCACTCTCATTTCTCTCTATATCTCTCTCCATTCTCTCTTTTTCTCACATGGATCATCGTTGCCGAAGACAACCTCCAAGCGCTGCAACGGCACATTCAGATCGTCGTTGTACAACACTAATTTGACTACCAAGGGATGTTCATAGCTCGCTTGCTCAACCAATGTTTTTGTTTTTTTTTTTTTTTTCAAATTGGAAATTGTTGACACAGGCAATGGTCGCAGTGCCTCATGTGGTAAATTTGGGAATTTTTTGTG